AGCCTCGATGAACTCAGTGGGGTGGTAAACGTGTTGTGAACAGAGAGGCTGGTGTTAGCAAAGTGTTAGCAAAGTGTTAGCAAAGAAAAGGGAGTTGTGAATAATGACAGTGATACACAAACACAAAGACGAAGATGACAGACACTTCCCGAGAGCTAAAAACATCTAAACACAATAATCATACACATTGGGTAGAGGTAGAGGTACTATCTTACCTCGGTAGATAGTAGGTAGGGGCAGCGAGGACAGACCCTGCTCTTGCATTTGCTGGTGTTGCTGGACTCTCCTCTTGGCTTCCAGGACTGGGTTCTCAAACTGGGTCCTTCTGTTTATGTGGCTACAGAGAAAGGCAAAGATATGACATTTCACTGGGCTCTCTGTCGTATCAACCTCCTCTTCCTCCTCCTCCTCTTCCTCGCTCCCTCTGCTAAGAGCTGGATGCACAGTGCTGTGCTATGATGATTAATTCAATAGCCTTAGTATCCCTAGTATTATGTAATGGAGCTGCAGAATGGCTTTTTTAAGTAAAAATGAACAAATTGACAATTAGGTCCCATTCTACTGGAATCCGCAGCATTAGGAATAATTTAGTGTGTGATTTCTGGAGTGGGTTCTGGACAAAGATGGCTCCTTGAGTGTATTTTCTTAAAACACTCTGTCAGTGCTAATTTGGTTTGTCTTCGGGAGCGAGTCGATAATTATAGTCGATAATTATAAATACTGTAATTTTGAAAGTGTGAAGTAATTAGTCATCATTTAGATGTGCCCTCCCGGTCAGTGCGAGACAGTAGGAATAATGCTTCTGTAGGCACATTGTCTTCCCAGCCTACACACCCTCTGTTTCTTCATGAGATATTAGGTTAACTCAACGGTACAGCCAGGCAGTGGGACATAATTATTGGACTTGGCAGGGTCAGGTATGACGCTAGTGTGTGTGTGTGCAATGGCTCAGTGGCTGCCTGGGGATACGGGATTTCTACATGGCAGAGGGAGAGAGGGAGAGAGGGAGTGTAGGCAAGGCAGGCACACTGTTCTGGTCTTTCTTGGGGATAGAGAATAGACCTCCCTCTCCAGCCAGGCTATAAATAGACCTCCCCTCCTCTCCCTGGACTAGGGGAAGTAGTGCGCATCCAGCAGGAGAAATGACACCCCCAGAATAGGAAGGGTACATTTGGTTCAATAGAGAAGACAGAGAAACCTCGCCATTGCACCACATCACACAAAGATGGCGCGCGCGCACACACACACACACACACACACACATTATGACCAAACACACAGGAGCACGCACATAAACATGCGCATGTGAACAGGTACACAGGTACACAGTTACACACTCACACAGAGACACAGAAACAGAAACAGACACACATACACTCACAAATGCATGCATACTAACAAACAAGCACCCACTGACCCATCCACACGGACAGACAGACAGACAGAGATACAGAGCTCTAAATGAGCAGCAGAATGACTCTGACTAACATAGAATAGTGGAAACATAACACGGGGGAACACTGGAAATCAAAACAGTCATTAAATATTAAAGCAGTGCGTCCAGACTTACTCCACATAGTAGCTGCCGTAAATAGGGTCATCAATCTTCTCCCAGCCGTACGGCAGCTCTGTGGAAGAGACAAGCATAACAACAGACTAGTCACTCAACAGGCCGGGGGACAGCATATCGATTCACAGAACAAAATATCCATCAGACAATTTTGATCACAACATTATTGTATTGTCATTTATTACAAAGGATTTGAGGTTCTTATAAAATCTTAATTGACTATGGAAAATATGAAAATGATTTATTATGCTCTATGGTAACTGTGGTAGTTACTAAATACTGTGTGAGGTCTATGAGCCTCCAGACTTGCAAACACTGTCAAAACATTTGGACAAACTTAAGAGACAAGACACATGATACCCCCATCAGCATTTGCGGTGAAAATTCTGATACAAAATTCATGAGTGTGAAGGACAATGGCTGTTTCTCCTGACCTCTCACACTACACCAAATACAGTTGAAGTCGGAAGTTTACATACACTTAGGTTGGAGTCATTAAAACTCGTTTTTCAACCACTCCACACATTTCTTGTTAACAAACTATCGTTTTGGCAAGTCGGTTAGGACATCTACTTTGTGCATGCCACAAGTCATTTTTCCAACAATTGTTTACAGAAAGATTATTTCACTTACAATTCACAGTATCACAATTCCAGTGGGTCAGAAGTTTACATACACTAAGTTGACTGTGCCTTTAAACAGCTTGGAAAATTCCAGAAAATGATGTCATGGCTTTAGAAGCTTCTGATAGGCTAATTGACATCATTTGAGTCAATTGGAGGTGTACCTGTGGATGTATTTCAAGGCCTACCTTCAAACTCAGTGCCTCTTTGAAGGTACCACGTTCATCTGTACAAACAATAGTACGCAAGTATAAACACCATGGGATCACGCAGCTGTCATACCGCTCAGGAAGGAGACGCGTTCTGTCTCCTAGAGATGAACGTACTTTGGTGCGAAAAGTGCAAATCAATCCCAGAACAACAGCAAAGGACCTTGTGAAGATGCTGGAGGAAATAGGTACAAAAGTATCTATATCCACAGTAAAACGAGTCCTATATCGACATAACCTGAAAGGCCGCTCAGCAAGGAAGAAGCCACTGCTCCAAAACCGCCATAAAAAAGCCAGACTACGGTTTGTAACTGCACATGGGGACAAAGATCGTACTTTTTGGAGAAATATCTCTGGTCTGATGAAACAAAAATAGAACTGTTTGGCCATAATGACCATCGTTATGTTTGGAGGAAAAGGGGGAGGACTTGCAAGCTGAAGAACACCATCCCAACCATGAAGAACTGGGTTGGCAACATCATGCTATGGGGGTGCTTTGCTGCAGGAGGGACTGGTGCACTTCACAAAATAGATGGCATCATGAGGAAGGACAATTATGTGGATATATTGAAACAACATCTCAAGACATCAGTCAGGAAGTTAAAGTCTGGTCGCAAATGGGTCTTCCAAATGGACAATGACCCCAAGCATACTTCCAAAGTTGTGGCAAAATGGCTTAAGGACAACAAAGTCCTTGAAGCTAGTCCCGAAACGTTTGATCCAAGTTAAACAATTTAAAGGCAATGCTACCAAATATTAATTGAGTGTATGTAAACTTCTGACCTACTGTGAATGTGATGAAATAAATAAAAGCTGAAATAAATCATTCTCTCTACGATTATTCTGACATTTCACATTCTTAAAATAAAGTGGTGATCCTAACTGACCTAAGACAGGGAATTTTTACTAGGATTAAATGTCAGGAATTGTGAAAAACTGAGTTTAAATGTATTTGGCTAAGGTGTATGTAAACTTCCGACTTCAACTGTACACTGATAGATGGAGTTGTTTGAATTGGGTTGCTTTTAAATATTAATGTCCTGCCATCCTTTCTATTTTGTAAATATTCAGTTATGATGCCAGCGATGTTTGGATATAGTTTAAATGTTTGTATCTGGAGCACGTACATAGCTCCTGGGCCCCTGTCACGGTTTCGGCCGAGGCTGCTCCTCCTCCTTGTTCGGGCAGGCTTCGGCGGTCGTCGTCCCCGGAGTACTAGCTGCCACCGTTCGATGTTTCATGTTTGTTTGGTTTTGTCTGTTTGTACACCTGTCCCTTGTTAGTGTTTGATTTGGTTGCCTATTTAGTTTTCGTGTGTGGGGGCAGGTGTTATGTGGTATTGTTTATTGTCAAGCTGTTGCTCTTTTTGTATTACTCTCGTGTTTGTTGTTTTCCGAGAGTCCGCACTGTGTGCGCTATCTTCATTTTACGCACTGTGTGTGTTGTGCGTAATTTGTATTTTGCCTCCCGGTTGGGTTGGCTATTCGCCTGTTGGGTGCTGCATTTTGTTAACTAAAGTCTGTTGACGAACGCCCGTGTTTCCTGCGCTTGATTTCCTCACCGCATCTACACTCAGCTACTGACAGCCCCTTAGACCACACAATACTTAACTGGAACACATTACACCATTACAGTGGGGTCTCAGAATAGACTGACTGGGGATCTAACACAGTAGCTGTCAACTGTCGTGGACCAAAATAAACCTTTGAGTGGAATGTAGAATGTCATAACTTCAGTCATGTCGGTATTGATGGTGCAGGTGTTCCTACACATTGTATCTACTGTGATATGATGAGTCACCACTGTGATATGATGAGTTACCACTGTGGCATCATGGGAAGTGTTATAAATAGGCTTGGGCGGTATCCAGGTTGTCATACCTTTATACCGACCTTGTTCCATCCCGGGATATTCGGTAATACCGGCACTGAACACTATTTTCAATCCGAAGGTTAGCACTGCTAATAAGTACATGTAAAGTCCCATAGCGAATGCAAGCTAAATGCTAATGTTATACAGTCTCTGACATAAACTATTTGCAGGACAGACATCCCATCTGATTAAGTTATGCAAGTAACAAAAAAATTATACTCAAAGTTTGCTGCACGCACAAAACAAATGTTGGCTCTTGATCAAGGAGGGAATTCTCTGCTGTTACCAAGAGGAGCTTGATTGCAAGAAGCTAACCACTTAGCTAGCTAGCTAGATAACTAGCTACTAAATTAGCAAACCAAATGCACAACTGCACAGTACATTTTAGACAGTTAACTTAATAGTTATAAGATATTGTCACGACTCCCTCCGAAGCTGCCTCATCTCCTTGTTCGGGCAGGCTTCGGCGTTCGTCGTCACCGGCCTTCTAGCCAATGCCGCTCCTCTTTTCATCATTCCATTTGTTTTGTCTTGTTTTCCACACACACCTGGAACAAATCCCCTCAGTCTCTGTATAACTATTCCCTCTGCACCTCCATGTCTTTGTGTGTTAATGTTCCATGTGAAGGAGTCGCTAGCTCGTGTTGAGCATTATGTTACTTTTATCGCCGGGATATTCACCCGTGTGTTTTGTTTTCCCAGTACGCATTTAAGTCGCACTGTATTTGGTTTACGCATTGCTGTGGACTGCTGTATTGGCCAAATAAACCCTGTTCTTTGATTCCCACCTCCTGCGCCTGGCTCCGCCCTACTCCCCTTGTTACAGATATCTAGCTGGCAAACATTTAGTTGTGAATTCCATACTGTAACTATAGATCTGTATATAGATCACCTGGTGTGTGCTGCACAACAGTGAGTGACTCATAATGCTCCGGTCTCTCGTGTGCTTGTAAACTAACTACATGTGACTGGGGACTACCGGTAAGGTTCTTAATGTAAAATAATGTGACAGGTGAAATGAAGAATGCGATCTGCTTCATCTCCTAACATATTGCACAAGTTGACTGCAGTTATTTACTTAAAAAGTGGCTGTAAAAATTTACATGTATTAAAACAACTTCATAGAAGTAGTTTCAACAGTATTGAAAAACCATCCTGTTGTTATTTCCAAATAACCCGGTATATACGGTATACCGCCCAAACCTAGTTATAAATACAGATATGATATGACCAGGCCTAGGGACACTAACCTGGAAAACTCTGAGCCCTAGGACTCAATGTGAAACTGATTTGTAACTCCCCATATAGAGGGTGGAGGCAGCTGCGTCCATATAGATATAATTACTAGAACGGTAAAGCCCCTCACACTACATCAACTTTACTGGAACACTTGTGGGTTCACTCAATATGGCTGACAGTAACTCTATTTCTATGGCTTAGTACCTGGGCTAAAGCTGACTCACACTATGGAGGTCACTAACCCAAAAGTGCATCTTCATCAGGGAATTGTTTGATCAGCCTCCCTCCCCTCTCTCTCTATTACACCAGGGGTATACAGTAGGTTCAGCACACTGTGTTTGTTCTTTGTGATCAAAGTGGATCTGTCCCCAACCCTGACCTCCTCCCATCATTCATGTCTGACAGGATTGTTCTCTCTCTCTCTCTCTCTCTCTCTCTCTCTCTCTCCCCCTCTCTCTCTCCCCCCCCCCCCCCCCCCCCCCCCCCCCCCCCTCATTGACGGCCTGCCATAGCCTGATCCCATGTAAGGCTATGAGTTTGTGACCAGTGTGGTGGTACTGAGGCTGGTCCAGAGTGAGAGCGAGAGAGAGAGAGAGAGAGAGAGAGAGAGAGAGAGAGAGAGAGAGAGAGAGAGAGAGAGACAGTGCTGGGCTAATCAGGAGAGTGGGGATAATATCTCCTAATCACAAACATCAGTCAGAATGGGATGATAATGCACTGTCCACAGGCTCTCAGGACCTCCATGATGATTCAGAAATAGGCTTGCTGGAGGCTGCTGGTGTGCAGAAGGCTGAGTGCTAATATACAGGCCTACACACGATCGGAAGCACACACACGATCACACACACACACACACACATAATTACCAAAAACACACATATCCCACAGACAGACATGCACACAATCACAAGCACACACATATTTTATTTTTTTACCCAAACAGGCTTCTGGAGACACATTGTGAGTCATTCATATTAACATCCCTGGCTCCATTGTCATACACATGCACACTATACATCACAACAATACAAGCACACGCATGCCATATGTGTCTCTCCTTTACTCACACGCATACACTATTCAAAACACGGAAGCCCCCCCCATACACACACA